ACTTACCATTTTGAAAAATAATTGGTTATTATAGACCTAAAGCCCTTGTAAAAACAAAAATAATCCTGTTATTTTTCTCTGCCTACATCTAAAGTACTCTTTTAAATAGAACAATAACTCACGCACCATCGCTCACCGGTTATTACGACGTTTTAAGTCTCTTTAAGCTTTTAATCGCATTCGCTTTCATTGTGTTACTAAATACACAAGTACTAGGATTTGGCAGCAAATCCGTCGTATTAAAATTATGTTGGTACCTTTTGTAGCAAAATGTTGTTATAATAAAACGTAGGATCACGCTACGAAGTTTCCTCAATTTAGATAGCATAGAAATTGATGGAAGTGAGTGATTCACTCACATTTTCCATAGACAAAAATAAGGTTAACATTAAATTTAGCTAACCTTTTTGTGAGTATTTTGTACACATTACCTAGTACAATAATTTGATGTTTTGTTTTTTTTTTGTTGATTCCGAATGCATGCATACTAGCTACTCATCATAATCCTCGTCATCATCATCATCATCCGAGCTTTTCCGTCCACAGCTTGACATAAGCCTCTCCAATGACACGTCACTGAACTGGAATTTCAGTGCTACGCATCCACCTTATGCCAACCACTTTACGGATATTGTCACTTCACCTAGCCGGAAAGTGCCATACATATGTTAGGTATGGAGGAAGCCGCAATTAATAATCATCAAAAAACACTAAAATTCTACCAAGATCTAATAGAATCAATACAAAAGAAAGACTAATTAACAGTTCATAAAACAGTAGATGACCTACGTATGCCTAAACGCGTATATTACTCCAGAACACATCTACCAAGTGACCTGATCACTGAATACACTAATGCCCGGTTTCCGAAAGCCCGATTAATGTTAAAATCAACTAACTAAGGGGTCAAAACTCTTGCCAAGTCATCTGATTGGTTGTTGATAATTCAGTAAACCAATCTGATGACTTGACAAGAGATTCAATTGATTTTAACATTGATCGGCCTTTCGGAAACCGGGTGTTAAACTTGACCTATCTCTATCCTCTTCTGTCAATTTGTCTCTGTCGGATCACATCATTCCAAATTTAAATCTTTCAGAGACTTCGAGCATAGCTCTAACAATAAATCGATGCGCAATCTAAGTACCTATAGTTCGCAATATAAAGGATACAACCCTTACAGGTTTTATCATAAATAAACCATTAGGTAAAAGTTTTTACCACCTAGGGCATATCATAATTTGTATACTACAGTCCATTCGTTCCAAAGTTTGCCCGCAAACCCTTCGCTATATTACAGTGACTAGTAAAAAGTAATCCATTTGTGAGTAACCCCGGGGGGTGTTTTGTTACATGGTACATAAAAGCCTTTAAGCCTTTTTACTGTGTTTTAATAATAAAATGTCGTATCGTCTGGCGAAGCTCGTAAAACTGAATATATTCGCTTTACGATGGCTTGTAAAATGGCGGCCGGTCCTGTCAAGTACAAATCAACTAGCGTTTTTAAAATAAATTATTCTTCTATTTCTCTATGTTCTGATGTCCGTTATTTTAAATTCTCGAATGTTCCTTTGTAGAATTTGAAAATCGAACTATTCTTTTACAAGTTTCTTTATTTTAAAATAATTTGATAGTTTATGTTTATTTTATATTTAACGTTAGAGTGACGAATGTTATCACGAGAAATTCCCTCGATATACCTAAGACAATGAATGTAATATATTAACGGTTTGTCTAAGACAAATCTACGTAATTAATCTTAATAATGTGGCCTATCTTGTTATAAGATCCTGAGAATCAGATCATTCGATCACTATTCTCCAATCAAGTGTCAAGTTCAAGGAGGCACTTAAACAATTCCCGAAGACGAAATTACGTAAACTTGGATGAATACTCAAGAAGGTACTTACATATATGAAGAAATATAATAATAGAAGATTCTGTCAAGTAGGTGCGTCCTAGGAATAATATAATTCAAGACCCGTAGACAAATACGCGAGTACCTATCGAAATTTCTCTTCGATTACTTCTGAGAAGCGACGAAGTAGATAAAATACTTGGAACAGCTCTCCTCAGTAAATACACCGATATTTCTCCGAAATGATTTAATTAAAATATTACCAAGTTTCAAGAAATTTTCGTTGAAATATAATGAATCTTTGTAAGGTATCATATTTACGAAGAAAAATGTTTAAATAAGGATTTTTTTCTTCGTTTACTTGGTAATTAAGTACTGAAAAAAAAACTATTCATAAACATAGGTATATAATGTATGTATCATGTACATTTGGCTTAAAGCCTACGAACTGCGTATTGGATTGTACACGGCGAGACCCTTTTTCGAAACTTCTAGAACATCAAAATTATACCGAGCCGCCCCGGCTTCGCACGGGCATCCAATATTGATACTACATTTTATACTATTCATAGTAATTTTTTCTCCACTATTATATCATTCATACTAAATTTCTCTACTAGTTATTAGAATGTTACCCATAAGCCTTCGTTATCAATTGCTCTATAGCTATATTCAAAGACTGCATCAAAATCCGTTGCGTAGTTCTAAAGATTAAAGCATACATATGGATTTAGGGACTCTTTTATACTATGTGGTGATAGTATTTACCTACTCAGTTTATTTAAATCGGATAATGCCCACTTGATCTAAGGCCGTACAAGATGTTACCATAATTCTTTATATCCAAATTAGACGATGAAAAATAAGTGAAATGTAGGAAATAAATACTTATTTCTCCCACTTGACGTATTTACGTCCTCACATTAATTGATTGGTTCCGAATTCGAAACGCGATGCCTTCCCAAATATTTTCCCGATAAAACGTAAACTAAACCCGTCCCTAGGGGTCAATCGTAAAATATCGGGGAAGTGTCAGACCCCAGTAGGTCCCAACATAAAGTTCCTTACGTTACTTTCGAAGCCCACACGTGGACTTCAGTATTTTTGGACAAAATACAAAGTTTATTCGGTTTTGGAAACGAACTGGGGACTCGATTACGAGATGCCGTTCTTCTGTTAAGAGTAAAATATATTAAGGTTCGGTTTAAAATAACAAAGTTGACTTGGATCTTGTACGGTCCAATTACCGCGCATGTCACTGCGTCAGCAATTTACCCAATTACAATAAATATTCTTATTATATTAGACAGTCGTATCAAGTCTGACTCACTGTAAACCCGCGTTAATGTATCAAGAAATAAATATTCAGCCATTATAACCAACAAGGTGTTATCATGTATCAAGCTCTATCAAGCACGTCGTTTGGCAGCAACAAGCCACGCGACAGATCTCATGCTTTCTCGTCCCAGGGTTGGTAATCTCTTCAGCCGGGATTGCGGGTTAAGCGAAATGAGTCACCGCGACCTCGGCCCAGAGCAGGAGAAGGAACGTGGGGGTTTTTAGTCAGTAAGAGTCTGACACTCTCTCTCGCCTTACCCTGGGCGGGAGAAGTCATTGGATGAATTTCCCCTGACAAAAAAAGGGTTGTTAGTCTGTGCAGACGAATGAATCAAACTGTTTTCTGGAGCAAGTACTAAACTTGGATAGTGGTCCTGTGCTTATCGATAGACTCGCTAATATTACAAGGGGTTTTATAATGTAGTTTGTAAAAGTAGATGGCGGCCAATTTCGTCTCCCCTTTAAGGAATAAAAAGTTTGATAGTGTTAAGCAATTTTGTTTAAGTATCTATATTTTGTCATCCATAGCATTTAAAGCAGTAGTAACTTCTTTTTCGATAGGGTTCGATTCCCGTACGGAACAACTCTGTGTGTGATCCACAAATTGTTGTTCCGGGTCTGGGTGTGATGTGCATGTGAAATTGTATGTGTGAACCGCACCCACGACACAGGAGAAAATCCTAGTGTAAGGCAATGTTTTTTTTTACTATAAAGAATCCATAGTTTGTTTTGAGGAATGGTTTCAGTTTCCTCAAAGAAGACCATTGTAGATACCACGGTAAATATACTACATGCTCGATTCAATATCCTCTATAATATCCTATGTAGGTACATATGTACTTCGGCGTAGTGTCCCGTCAGATATGACCTAGTTTATGTACTGGGTCTGAACGCATAACACGAGGTTATTGCCTCTGTACACGATGGACGGTAATCGATAACATCCCACAGACGATATTTGGATGTACTTACCTACATATTTATTGAAATATTTTCTATATATGTATACTTACATATAAAAAATTTCGTATACTTCATCCGTTTCAGCGATGAATGTCTAAAGCAGTAGGTGTATTTTTTTGACAAAAATTATGCGAAAATTGTTTCCTGCTTGGATTAGACTTAATATATTTGTATAGTTTTGGCTTTATGACAAACGTTGAAGGAGAAATATAGGGAGGAACATGGACTTATAACATAAATTAGCGTGGTGATTAATACTCAAGCCTTCTTCGTGTGAGACGAGGCCTTTGTTAAGCAGTGTGCACTTAAAAGTCTAGGCTGATAAAGTCTAGGTACATGTTTGTTATTTAATGTGGTTTTAGAGTTATGTAAGAATATTTAGAAAGTTACATTTTTTATCATGCTTCCTTAAAAGAACTTGATACTTTTTACAATGCGTCATAGACAGCATACTAATAACGGCCATTTCTATGATTTGTGATGTTTGCTCAACAATACAAGAGAATAAGTAACGTTACAACTAAATAAAAAGATAAATTTTATAAACGTACAATAATTAGTTTAGCAGATGGTAGTTTTTTTTTCCAGGGAAAATCATCAAATAACTTCTCCCGCTCATGGTGAGGCATAAGGAAGTGTCAGACTTTTACTGACTAAAAACCCCCCCGTTCCTTCTCCTGCTCTGGGCCGAGGCCGCGGTGCCTCATTGCGCTTACCCCGCAACCCCGGCTACTTACACCTTAACCCCGGCTAGGCCCGTATAACTAAAGACACCTAAATTAGTCGCTCCAAACTTCGAAGATGAAGCGTCCCTAATCTCAACTCCTTATTTTTTCCACAGTTATGAGACGGAGAAGAACGCACTGGTGGTGTCGGTGGTCTCCTGCCAGGGGCTACCTGGTCGTGAACCTGCCGGACCTGATCCGTATGTGAAGCTGCAACTGCTGCCGGATAAACAGCACAAGGTCAAGACCAGGTCAGTACCGGAGTATAAAGTTGTTGGGGGAAGTTTTTGGATAGGGCCCAGCCTAATGTTGAATTTGACTGAATGGTACTAAAAGTTAAAGCATTGAGCATGATTCTCATTACTCTTTTGTTCTTACTCTAAGCACATAAAAGCACATCTAACGCCCGGTTTCCGAAAGGCCGATCAATGTTAAAATCAATTTAATCTCTTGTCAAGTCATCTGATTGGTTGACTGAATTATCAATAACCAATCAGATGTCTTGACAAAAGATTTAATAGGAGATTAGTTAATTTTAGCGTTGCCTTTCAGAAACTGGGTGTTAATGTATCTAAAAGGAAGACTTGAATTTAGTTGTGGACCAACTAACAATGGTTCCGATTTTAAATGTTTGTGGAGGTCACAAGCCAAATTCAGTGCTAATTAATTAATCGACGATGAATTTAGCTAAAGCCTATATTAATAATACTAGACACATAGAAACTAAGACAAACTGTATGGAAATAAAATAAGCTGGGTACTTATAACAACACTTATTACTGTTAATAACTTTCAGGGTTGTCCGTAAGACCCGCTGCCCAGTTTACGACGAGGACTTCACCTTCTACGGCATCTACCAGCACCAGATCTCTCTCATCACCCTGCACTTCGTCGTACTCAGCTTTGACAGGTCTGTTAATAAACTAATAAGTCGAATGTTATATATTTTATATAGTTACGTTTATAAAGACTGCCTCGTTGGCTGAGTGATTTTTAACGCGTCTGTTGTTATATATTATATACATTATATACATTAGACCTCTTTGCTATGACAGTTAAGCTTTTTCTATTGCTAGTTGAGCTCAAGAGAAGAAATAGGCGGTCAACTCTTATATAAAAGGCTGGTTATCCGGTCAAATAGCAAATTTTGACGACATGCAATTATGGCATGATGCAGCACAAGGGTACACTATATAAGTACATGGCGCAATATTCTTTAGAAGTGGTGTACTGTTAAAAAAAGTTGTGCCTATATCATAAGTGGGGCAATTGGAGTAAATAAACTAGAGAGAAAAATATTGCGCAACGTAACAAACCACAACACTATGTCTTGTCAGTGTTATACTTTGCCATGTTATGTGTACCTACGTCTTTTATTGGAGATCAAAATAAATAAATATTGTGCAACAATAAAGAACATGTCCTGCATCAGCTGCTCAATGTTGCGTATTATTTTCTAGAGGATCCAAGGCTTAAAGTCTATCAAAATCACAATCAAAACTTTGCAAGTTTTTCCATAACTAAACAATACATTTTGTTTCCAGGTATTCCCGCGATGAGATAATTGGCGAGGTGGTAGCTCCGCTGACGAGCCTGCAACTGCAGAGTGGCGAGCCCATGGCCCTTTGCCGCGAGATACAACCACGCAGTCTGAAGGTACAATACTCCGTACATCCTTAAACATTCCTCGTGGAACATTTTTTTCCTTAGCATTTACATGATCCATCCTTAAATGTCCCACGTTCACCACGTTCACATTTTCCATGTTTAACCCATATTCCCAATTTAAACCCTAAGCTTTTTACAACTGAGGAAGCATTTCAATTTTTATTTTATGTCCAGTTTCCGAATCCATGTTTTGTTTTGGTGAAGCGTAATAAACATGAGTAGAATAGGGAAAAGTAGGCGCTATAAATATTTCTTTTCAAAATTATTAGGGAGGCCCAGTACCTCCTAAAACTGCAAAGCTGGAAAAAATGTCTTAAACTTCAAAGCCTATTTGGAAGACCTACAATAAATCAATGAAAAATGTAGGCATTACTCTCTAGAATCAGATGCAAACAAAATATTAAAAAATATGGGACAAATCCAATTTGTGCACCTCCAAAGGATGTTCGTCTTTAATCAATATGCCTGACAAAATTAGGCGAGTCATAAGCCGGTGTGTAACGTGAAGTGGTGCGTAGATGCGTAGCGTGGGTCGCGGCGAGGTGTTGGTGTCGCTGTGCTGGCAGCCGGCGGCGGCGCGCCTCACCGTGGTGCTGCTCAAGGCGCGCAACCTGCCCAAGATGGACGTCACCGGACTCGCTGACCCGTTCGTATACTTTCCTACTTATGCTCACGGCTCTTGAAAGCAATAGGCTACAGTTCTTATCTTCCGAGTGCATGCTCTCTTTTCCTGCTAAATGTGAATGATAATCAATCTTGTTCTATACGTTTAGCTTGCACTTTATAATCAAACCTATTCTCGGTGTCTTCACGTTATTTTTATTAGCCACCTTCTTCTCCTTTAAAAACCTTTCAAGATCCCTTATCTGAATCGCTTATTTCCTTTTATAAAGGTTGTTACATCATTTGTCCAGTAGCTAGACTAAACATACTTTCATTTTAGAGAGCACCGTCCATTATTATATCTCATTTGATAAAAGTAACTTAATCTGCACAATGTGTGTGAACGCCTCCATCATAGAACACATACTAAACGTTGAATTTGTTCCACAGCTACGTGAAAATGTACCTGCTGTACAACGGGCAGCGCATCGCGAAGAAGAAGACCCACGTGAAGAAGAGGACGTTGAACCCGGTGTTCAACGAGTCGTTCGTGTTCGAGGTGCCGGCCGCGCCCAACGCGACCCTCGACCACGTGTCGCTCGAGCTGCTCGTACTCGACTGGGACCGGGTCACTAAGAATGAGGTATCGTCAGGATCTTGAAACTTTTCTATTGTCCTTTTTAAGTCTCCGTAGAGAAGCACAGACGCACATACATTGAATATTGGCACACTGAATATAGATCCAAATTCTGTTCTATGATTGAGAATTTCAAAAATCCTAATAATATCATCTTTTACTTTACAATCACACTTATGATCTCTTAAGTCTTCATCAAGACAGTCTACTTCATCATCATTGTCAACATCAGCCTGATTTCTCTTAGGAGGTACGCCTCTCCATTTGCACGCCACTGAGCTCGATGTTCAGCTATTTTCTCAGACAGTCGACAGTTTCACCAGGCCTTTATTTTTTACCTTTAAATAAATTTGCGTCTTATGTGAGCTATTGTCATCAGGTGATCGGTCGGCTGGAACTGGGCGCGGCGGGCGCGGGCAGCGCGCGGCACCACTGGCGCGAGGTGCAGGCCGCGCCGCGCCGACAGATCGCCGACTGGCACAAGCTCAAGGAGTGAACCCCTCTACTCCACACACACTACCCTGCTTGCCCTGTCTGACCCTGTAGCCTCCATTTACACGGATATTTCACTGAAAAAATCTACCAAATCTACATCCTCGGTAGATATTAGGGACATACGTCTTAGGGAAATCTCCAATCAAGTAATTGTTGTGTAATATATCTTTAAAAATGTTTACTGTATTGTGAAAAAACCATAATGTAGAAAAACAACCAACAATTTTTGTCAGAAATCGGAATATTGGCAACAAATTAAAAGAGAATGTCCTAAATGGCTACATGGTCAGGCTACTCGTGCAGATATCACGTTTCCCAAACCCTTTATCCCTAAAACATTTTAATTGCCTAAAATGCGTAACGTATTTTACAATTACATGAGTTTTACTTGAAAGAAATCGGCCACAAGCGTTTCTTTTTTTAACGCTATGATACTCAAATGTTACCCAATTTTATAAACCTGTAATCGCAATATAAAAGATCTTATCGATTTTGGGAAATTATTATGAAGAACTGCAATTTTCAAACTATAAAGTCCTTCGGGAAACCTCAAGTTTTTAACAGCATACAAATAAAAGCTAATTAAAAAATCTATTGTTTGGTTATCCTTTTTGAAATTGGGTACAATTTTTGTATTTGAGCGCAATTTCACTTTTTATTCTTGCACAGATTATGCTGGATAGAAATAACGGCCAAGCCAAAGTCCAGCGGTGGTTTCCGAGCGTTTTATTTTAGTCTTAATTTGTAAACTAAAAAAAATGATATTGTATATTAGATAGGTGAAATTATTTGGAATTTATTCGCGTGAAATATTTGTATTATATTATATTGTTTGTTTGTAAGCGCACAGCATCCCATTCCCTTCCCTGGTAACTGACATATTATGATGAACGTAAACTCGTGTTTATCTGAATGTAGATTCACTTTGTTTTGAAACGGGAGGGAAGGAGAAAGGAGAGTTACAAAAAATAGTAATAAACTTTCAAAATCCATCTTTAATAGTCTGCCAAATATCCGACGCAGAATGCTCAACATTGTACAGAAAATCACTTGGAACTGGAACAGTTTTTAAATATTTTTCTCCCGTTTCAATGTCTTCTAATAATCTACATATCTAATTATAAGAAAACTTGATGTAATGGAAATTGTATCTTATGTGTTAAGCTTTACGACCCCGAATCCCATATACCTAAAATGAACTAATGCTATCTTTTGTTACTAATGGTACGAAAACAAGACTTTAGAACTGTCAAACTTGATGGATATAAAATCTTTGCAGTCTCGTTCTTGTGACGAGTATTAGTAAGAGATAGCGATAGTTCAAATGTCATCGTTTAGGTTGCAAAGAAACATTATGTTAAGCCATAACAAGCTATAAATTAGCATAGACGTATTTAATTTCCAAGTTAGTTCTCATCACATTCTGGGTAAATCTTAGTGTGCAAAATTATTCATAAATATCTGCAGTCACAACTATCAAGCATCATTACTGTAAAACTTTGGTATCTAGTTATTTATTTCCCACATTATCTAAGTATATCCTAGATATACATACTTAAAGTTAAAATGACAGATTGAAACAGCATGCGCAGGATTCGAAAAAAAATACTCATTGATTAACTAGAACATAACATGTATAGTTTTTAGGTTAGAAAAATAAATCTATTTTATACCTAAAGTTACTTTATAGTTGTTTAGGTACCTATGTGTAAAGCTCAGAACGAAGCTTCGAAAATCTTTCGTATTCTCATAGTGTCGCTGTGTCACGATAGATGGCGTTGTTATTAATTTAATGTCAAGCCGACGTATTTTTGAAAACGTAGGGAATGTAATTATTTATGCGAATTTTTGTCAGAAATAGTAGTGACAATATACGAATTATATTTAATTTTCAATCTATATGTATGTACAGTCATTCTCTATGTGGATAATGGAACCAACGCTAATGTATTACTATTACATAATTATATTCATTGTAGTAGTGGATTTGAGCGTATGTACTTAGGCGTCAATAATCCTTTTATTATAAGTACCTCCATACTTAAAACATTCCAAATTATAAAAAAAATGTAAATAGTCATTGCTTGGATCATCGGTAAACCGCTTTCTCATTCTAATTGTTAAAATAAGAAATTATAATTAGATGTAAGAACTTACTTATTATTAAAACAAGACTTCATTTAAAATGATGATAGAAAATTCTAACAATCTTCATTTCAAAATCTAAGCAAGCAATTCTGAACTCTATCCACTTGACATAAGAAGAAAATCATTAATTTTCCGCATAAAATAAATTGCGTTCTATAACAAATATTTTTAGTGCAGATGATCTGGTCATATGGCACATAAGTTAAAGATCAATATCGGTTGATCTAGAAGTAAGAAAAAGTTGTAAAATTTTCTAAAATAATTTTAAATGAAGCGTAAATGTTTCCGTTTTAAAGATCTCGTGTGTTTTACTTTATAAGTACTAGATACTTAATTTGTATTTAATTTCATAAATGTACATGTGTCGTAGATGAAACATGCGAAACTGGTTCTTATCGCTAAAGGCATAAGATCTGTTTTGTTACTAGGATATGCTGTAAGTAATTTGGAAATTCACAAAGTATTTAATTTGGATTATTTTGAAAGCAATGAAACAGATCTTAGGTTTAATTAATGAAATTAATGTTGCAATTGTACTGAGACATTTATCAAAGTTGATACAAAATTCCACTAAGAAAAAAAATATTAAAAAAAACTTATTGCCGTACAAACATACATACAATTTTACGATGGTCACTCCATACACTTAATTACCAATGTCAAAAAATTCGTCACGTTAACAAATCTATGTCACAAAATGTAGGAATAAAGTCACATTTTCCGACATTTTCCGAGTTGATGAATGTCTCAGTGAAACCAGCAAGTTACCAGTACTTAATACCAGCACTGTAGTATACTACTAGACCACGTCATCCAAACCACAAATATCAGAATTGTATACTAAGGGAATTTTAGTGAATAAAATTTATTGACTGGTGCTTTCACAATATATTGCGTGTTTTATTTCTTCACGTGTATACCCACATATCATCATGATAATCGTCACAACACATCACCAGTATAATATGTATACCCTATAAATGCTTACAGCTGAGCAAAGGCCTCTTCCAAAACGAAGAAGGTTTTGAGCATTAAACACCACACTTGGTGTAGGTGGATTGGCAATATCTAACTTTTATTTAGAAAGTCCATGTTTCCTCGCGATGTTTTTTTTTCGCCTTTTGTCAATAGTTTCTAAAAAGTTAGAAAAAGTCTCTTTGGTACTTGGTACGAACCCGCACTCTCATGGATGAGAAGCAGGTGCCTCAGCCTCCTCGCCTGAATTTGACTGATAATCGTCATCACTTAATAAATGTCGGAGGGCTTCGGCAAGAATGGGTCGGCTTGACCGAAGTGATACCACGGCCTCACAGAAAACTTCATTCACTTATTGATAGCTTCAATGTTTCCGAGTGCTATAGGCTATAAAACATCACGCTACAATAAAATGGAGCCGAGCAGCGAGTGAAACCGCGCGGGAGTAGCTAGTATTGCATAAAATTATGAAATTAGTAAAATCCTTTGCAGTTATGACGAAACCAGGGAAATAAATATTCAATTTTATAAGAAAGATATGTGTATATGTTTCATTTCAAATTGAATAGGTACCATGCCTAGGATAGGACAACTGTCAGCTATACCGAATAAAGAAGTGCATTAAAGCTACGCTAAGGCGGTTCGAAGTTTCCCGGATCAGCTAGTAGTCGAAAAAAAGCAAGATAGTAGAAACACGGTTGCAGACGACAATCATCTGTTATTGCTAAATACTTACAAAATAAATACGTAAGTAATGGGTATTATTGTTCATCGTGCGAAAGAGAACGCTAGCGTTTAGCGTTCCGCGTTCCGCGAGTTCAAGGCAAAGCTTCTCTCTTACACGCATCTAGAAAATTCGCTAGCAATGACAGTCCGACCGCGGCGGTCAGTAACGTCGAACGCACATCGCGTCGTACCAGTTTGGCGTTCTTCTATTTACTTATATTTTAACAAACCTAAACTATGTCTGAAAAAGAAAAATTGATAGCACTTGTCAAAAACAGACGTTTCCTGTACGATTTAAATGATCCACAGTATAAAAATCGACAAAAACGAATGGAAGCTTGGAAAGAAATCACGCGGCTAATGGGCTCGGGCAGTGGTGAGTTATCACTTCGTAACATAGCGCCATCTATTGTACTTCGAGGAAATTACTAAATGTGAAAGTGTGATAGGTGGTGGCGCTAGGTTTCAACTAATGTCGTGTTTTCAATAGAAGTAGTATTTTATAATACGAGATATTATACGATATGATATTTAGAGTTTATTTGAGGGTTGGCACAACGAATTTTAACTCTGTAGTTTTCCACGCTGCTTTTATGTAAGGCAGTGGTATAACCTAGATAATTTCCTGCCGAAGCAAGGCAATGACACACTGAAATCCTGTGGTTGGAGGGATTTCTGTTGGTCTACGACCGATTATTACTTATATATACATATGTAAAACATCAGCACTGCCTCAAATGGATATCCCATCAAAACGCGCAACGCGTTTCGATTTCTTCTTCGCAGGAATTCTTCTAAAAAGGATGCTTAATATATGTCGGCATCCAATATATGCCCATGGTTGGTCAAACCATAATTTACCACCATGCAAAACTGTAAACTGAACTACTTAAGTGATGTTTTTTTTTAATTTTATACAAATAAAAAAAAATTAGCAAAAAACAAAAGTTAGTTGGGTGACCCTACTATATTGAAGGGAATTATTGTCAAGCGTTGAATTAAATTCAGATTTTATTTCCAGCAAACATCTGGAGCGCGAAATGGAAAGGTTTGAAAGACAACTACGCAAAGTACAAGAAAACTTCTGAACCAGGCTTCATGGAAGCCTACAAGAAGTACAAACATTGGCCTTGGGCGGATAAGGTGAAGTTTCTAGACGAATGCATCAGCACAACATCTAGAAGAGGTTTTAGTTACACACCAAAGGAGTTCAGCGAACCTAGTCCAGATAATGCAAATGTTAAAACCTCCACGGACCAAATACACGAAGGATCAAATGAATGTGAAGTCAAAAAAGGATCATTGGACGGCGTAGACCATTTCTTCCTAAGTTACGCGGACACTTTTAAAAAATTACCCCCTCGTATGCAAATTATGTTGAAGTTGGAAATAGCGACATTGTTCAACAGGTTCGAATTACAAGCTGAAGGTCTATCGAAGGAATCTATAGACAACATGCCAAGGATTGTTCATCATCCCATTAAATATGAATTCGATTTTGAAAATGAAATTATGAATGGATGAATAGATCTTGATATAATGGCCGTCTAGTAAATCTTGGTAAAAATATTGAAAGTTGTTAGGACACAAATTCTTGTTACAGAATAAATATATGTATATATTACTAGCTACTTTCGCAGCTCGGCTCCATTTTATCGTAGCGTGATGTGTAGCCTATAGAACTCAGAAACATTGTAGCTATCTATCACTGAAAAAAATTTGGCAATCCGACCAGCGGTCCCAAAGATTACCCCCTACATACAAACTTACAAATACCTCTTTATAATATCAGTATAGAATATGGAGCTTACTGATCACCTGATGTTACAAGCACTTTGCCTATTATCCTTAAGATACATTATAAATAATACTTACTGTTTTAGATTAATTTTGGCGACGAACTAAGAAATTTTAATCAGAACCTGAGAAAGAGATTGTACTTATTATTGGACGTCTTTCAAATGTCGTGGTCTAGATAAAAGATAACGCACATGTGTGATGGTTACAATGCTTTTCTGAATACAGAACTTTACTTAGGTAAGTACCTAAATATATATCTAAAAAAATCTACTTTGGTTCCAACTCAGTTTTTTTTTATGGAATAGGTCGGCAAACGAGCAGAAGGATTACCTGATGGTAAGCAATCAGCGCCGCCCATGGACACTCGCAACGTAGGAGTTACGAGTGCGTTGCAGAACTTTTAGGGATTAGGGATTTGAAGATTGAGGAATTGAGGAGGGATTGGGGGCGGGGAAGGATTGGGCCTCCGGTAACCTCACTCACACGGCGAAACAAACACAACGCTGTGGTTATTTCACGGCGGTTTTCTGTGAGGCCGTGGTATCCACTCCGGTCGAGCCGACCCATTCGTGCCGAAGTATGGCTCTCCCACACTTAAAAGAGATACGTGTACCTGTACGATTTACTGTAGATTATTTTTAAATTTATTTGTGATTAAGATAAGTCTGTTAGTAATAAATATTTTATGATTTATACTTCGGTTGTTTTCTTATCAAAACGCATTAAGTACCTTTTTCCATAAATCATATATTTGAAATGGATTTTTTCAAGAACATTTTTTGTTGTCCAACTAATACTTGGATACTAATTGGAAAGTTTTTGAGAAAATGTACCTAATGATGTCAGAATGTTTGTTATTATTTGACGCAAAAACGGCTAGACCGATTTGATTGAAAGGTTGAGATCGGTGATGTCATATGGATCATATACAAACTTAGTACAACATATTTTGCTTAAAATCAACGAGGTTGCAAAAAAGGAACCAAAGATTGTGATACTTCGTTTTACAATAATGCTGTTTGGTTATTAGGTAATCTATTAGAAAATAATGACACAAAAACTCTTATCAATTGTATATTTGATATCAAATCTTATTACATAACACAGCTTATAACAAAAATTATAACATTAATACCAGCATCGTCCGTCACTCAAGGATACACAAGGTGACAGCTCCGCGAACATTTCAAATGTCATGTTAGTGCTTGAATGTGCTTCATGAATTTTAAAAATCTCAATTAATTGTTGAAATTGGCCTAAAATCCATATATAAACAACATAACATTATTCAGCTGAACAATTTGTTTATTTCAACGCGTTAACCTCTGAAACTACTGTTTCGAATTGAACAATTCTTTATGTGCTGCCTCGATGAATGGACTATACCTAATAGTCCATTCATCGAGGCTAGATATAGTATAGGCCAATGATATTCTAAGTAAAACGGTGTAAATTCGATTTTCAAAAACGACACACTGTTACACACATAAACAATTCATAGATATGTTTAGACGTCAAAGTGAGATGGCATGATTCAATAATCGCGAGTGAAAAAGAGACAAATATGAAAAAAGTGTGGCTAGAAAGCCACATTTTAATGTATCACTTGCTGAGCGCTTGTAACCTATCTACACCTTTTTACAATATCATTGGAATAGACTATAAAACATTACGTTACAATCTATGGGACTCGAACAGCGGTTGGTACAACGCAAGAGAAGCCATTACATTGATATTCACGACTACAAGTGAATGGAGAAACTTCAGTACCTAGATATCTAAAATTAAATACATTGCTTTTCTTCTTTTACATTTAAAATTAATTATTTTTGTACCAAATAACTCCGTGAACTGTACTAAGTACTTAAACCCAGCAATGCTTACTATGATACATTCCAATTTTTTGTTTCAGGCCAATTTCAACATCTTAAATATCGAGTCACTAATACTCCTCTGTCTTACTCGCATTGAAAAGTGTTTTAAAACAAATTTTGCATCGTGAGATTTTATCGTAAAACCACTACATTTTTTTTTCTTTAAAAAAATCATAAACGAACGCGTTGTCTCATTTTGAAGCCCGACTCAATCAATTATGATAATATTTTCATCCATTTTTTTTAAATCGACATTGTATTAAAAATCTTTCAAATTGTAGGAAAATATTCATTTTAACATACAACGTTTACTTTTGCTATTAAGTTATCAACATACAGAAGCTATTAACAATATTTGTTGAAATAAAACTAACTAAAGAAAATTCACCAAAATAAACGAACATCAATCGACTAATATCGATAGAACAAGAACATCACTATTGCGCCAAGGCAAACGCCGGGCCAAAAAGTACAATGAAACATTGAAAATTTGAGAAACTAACATCTAACATATAAGTACGCTAACATATAAATCACACCAGTTTTTATAAACAATTAACTCTTTAACATTCATTTCACATCAACCCAGATACAACTCGTAGAGATTCGTTTAGGAATCAACATTTACAACTTTACACATCGATATTGTCTTTTTTAATACAATCCCTACTTGGACGTCTCTTTGATTTCATCTAGCTATGACATTTCGTGGTTCCCATTTAGAGATGTACCCAAACATTGGAAAATTCGTTATATCGATAAGTTTCTAAGTGAAGCAAAGACTAGATGCAAAATGACAAAGTTTTTTTTATTAGTTAAGAATGTGTCATAATATGTTAAATTTATGGCAATTTTAAAGTGCCTCACAAAATATAAAATAGTAACGCAACTTTCAACATATTGTTGCTTTTTTATAGCATTTTTAGGGCTGGGACATGATGTAATTAACTTTTATCGATAAATTAGTATTACTATTGTTTATCCAAAGATTTTTTTCATTTTGGATCTTTCGTAGTATTTATTGAATAAGTGACTTCTCTAAACGGGAAACCCCATAACACCAACACAAATAGTATAAAACACTAAACAGTGATACAATTAGGCAAGAGAGTTATAGATGTGCGTTCTAGACTGAGTGTACCGCACTACTGACTAAATACTTACACAAAAAATCAATAAAAGTTACAAACTATGACTATCCAAGTTAGTTTTATTGCTAATAAAATAAGATATGAATTCTAGTTCAGATATGTTTGAACTGTGTAGATATTTTAACGTTTTGGTCCAAAGTATTTTATTTTATCAAAATTTTCTCGATTTTTTTTTATTCTTGATCCAAATAGTTTGTTTAGTCATTTTATTACATAAGTGATTATGATTTTGTAGTAAAAACTTCTTATAAGAATTATAGTATAGTTGTTAAGATTACATCGAGTAGAAAGCGAAGATCGTTTTAATGTACACTTAAAAACAATTTAATAAAAATATTATAATTAAATAATTTAAAACATTTTCTGAATATATCTAAACTCAAAATTGTTCATGTTTTTTTCATATTTTGTTATTATACTTATATGAGTTTATTCAGTAATGCAATAGGGCCTTTTAATGTTCCGTATATTCGTAGATATTGTGTAGGCTTAAATATTTTCAAGTCTATTTTTTCGTTTATTATTTAGTATAAGATTACATTATTGATTCACATCCAAATCCATAGATAAATGTTTTCCATACATAACCTTTTACAATTAAAATGACAGATTAAATTGTCTATGGATCCGCATATTAAACCTCATTTATCGATAAAAAGAACGACTCACCTAGATGGTAACGGTCCTTATAACAAAATAAAAATGTCTAAAAACTAAAATATAATTACAAAAATTATTCGAGTATACATTAATTACACGATTTTATATACAAACTATTAAATGCACTCTAAATTAATAATGCTGTGTTTTATAAAAGTCGTTAAACTGGGCAAGACAGTGTATTTCGACATAGACATGATTTTCTTTTTCAAATGGCAGAGTAACGGCAGGCAAATTTACTTTGGAAAGAAACTTTTGGATTACCAAAAATCGTTTTAATTATTTAAATTATTTCGTGAATCCACACATGATTGCAGAGACTAAACGCACGCACGCATAAATTTTTAATAAAAAACCGAATTAAAATAAATCCTTTTTTGCAAAACTACGGATAAAAATGGAATTGAAGCAATAGACTAGCAAGTCATTATAGACTTAAACTCTAGAAATTAGCAGACACTTGTTAATTTTATGAAAAACCCCATACATAGTAATTTCATATTTCATCATAAACTCACTGAGTATTCATAAAAGTCTTGTAGATCGCTACGAATGGTTTGAAACCACAGTATTTTTGTTGAAAGAGAGCTTTCTGAAGGCATTTTATTGACGTGCAGTGAAACAAACGCTGAAGCGACATGCTGCGTCGCTTGCCGGCTTTGAACTGACGATGAAGAAACAAGATTTTCTTTTGTTTTCTTTTTTGTTGCTCTCCAGAATTACTAATGCAAACACTATGAAAATTTCGTGGCTTCAACCGACATTTACTCCGACATTTCTGATAATTCTTGTACATGGAAATGTAATATCATTTTGATGTAGTACTTGTCAAGCTTAAAGCCGGCATCGACTGTGCATAGTACATACAAATCTAAGTAGAAACATTGTTTATAATAAAAAATCAAATCTCCATTTGTGGAGATAACGATATTGTTAGTGTTCCCATAGTCGAAGTTATCGGGAGCTTGTCCCGTCGACATGAACCCTCGGATGGAGGAAAATCGTCCAAATACTTTGATACGTTGGTATATCTAGCTTTGGGTAAGGACGGCACAGGGTGTGTGAGTGTATGTGATTATAGCAGGCCTCGGTCCAGTTCCTTGCGCAGCATCCTGGACAGCTTCAGCACGTCCTCGTCCACCTGGCCCGCGAACAGAGCGTCTAGCAGCTCGCCACGGGACGCGATCGCGAACACTCCCGCGAGCCTAGACACTGACTTGTCTGTCAAGTGTCGTTCCACCACGGCCCTGGAAATATTATATGAAAATTAGCTTCATCATCATCGGCCTATAAGTGCCGTAAGGATTTTTCTCACACGGAGAACGTTTGAGCATTTATCACCACGCTTGCTCAAGGTGAATTGGCGATTTCAAACTTATATTAAAAGTCCAGATTTCCTTCACGATGTCTCCTTCACCGTATGTCAGTGTTGTCTAAATAATAAGAGAAAGTACATACATACAACATGGAAAAAGTCACATTGGTACTTCCCAGGTTTCGAACTAGTATTCTCATGCATGAGAAGCGGCCTTACCCTCCGGTTTACCACGACGTTCAACAGCCAATTAATTAAGCATAGCTTTAATGAAACAAAATATGTCATAATATTATTTAATTTAGTACCACGTTTTACTGGCTTGGAACCACACCATAAAATTATTCAAGTCTGTAGAAATCTAGCGTCTCCTTAAGAACATATGGGGTAATAACTTACTTCAAAGACTGATGTGACTCACGAAGTGCATCTTGGAGGAAGCCACGATCGTATGAGAAGTCGACCTCACAGAATGACACTACCGCCATCAGTACAGTCTGGAAAACCACAGAGTAACAATAATTGCAATGCTGCTTCGGCCTAGAGCAAGAGAAGAAACGGGGGAGGTTTTAGTCAGTACTAGTTTGACCATAAGTGTGGAAGAGCCAAGCTTTGGCACTAACAGGTCGGCTTGACCGGAGTGATACCACGGCCTCACAAAAAACCGGCGCAAAACAACCACAGCGTTGTGTTTCGCCATGTGAGTGGGGCTTCCAGCGGCCCAGTCCCTCCCCTCCCTATCCCTTCCCAAACTTTAAATATCCGAAACCATTGTCCCCAAAAGGCCGACAGCGCACTCGTAACTCCATCGGTGTCGACGGGACATCAGGTTATACGTGTGCTCGTTTGCCGAGCTATCCCACAAAAAATTAAACTCCTTCTGGCCCCGCCCTAGGGGAAAAAGTCATTTGATGGTTTTCACCTTACAAAAAAAGAGTAACAATAATTAAAACCTATCGTGTTAAATTAGTATTATTTTTAGTACCAGTCATTGTGCTGCAGACGATAAAATTGGGTGTTTCCTGTTAAACTCTATAAATAGAAATAAAACTTAAATGATCCGATGTTTGTAATTGTCCTTGGTTTCAATTATTTAATATTTGTCTTAATTCGAATACAATACTTTTATTTAAATGTCGAAAACGATGCATTTCTATTAATTTGGTACGATATTCATATTATACTATACTTCATATTTTTTACGTTAATAAATAAAATTTTAATAACGCATTGTTTTGGCCAAAATAATTTGTTGACCTAAGATACTACCCTGGGTAACCCTGGTAATAATGGATAGAATATTGAAACTTTTCAAAATTCAGCTTAGAGATAATTTTGCTTTTAAGGTACAGTCATACAGCAGAGAAAAGGATCCCCTTATGCAAATAGCTGCATACATATTTGTACTTCTGGGGGGTCCATTTCTCGGCAGCTGACCGTACAAAGCGAACAGTACCCTCTGTAAAAACGGTTCCATACATCAACATCTAGTTAGACGTCTTATCCGTAGTTCAGGGTCCATTGTTAGGACGCCTAAATTCAGCAAATAATAGTGTTAGTTCTTTAAATTATTTCTTGATGTTATGAAACACTCTGATATCAAAACCTAATAACAACAATAGCCTACTTCGGAAAAGCAAGGACAGTGAAGAATCCCTCTTTATCTATCCTTAGCTACATCATTCTGACCACTCACATGGAACTTGGAGCGGAACGCAGCCAACGCGCGCTCGTCAGCAGCCGACAGCTGACCGTGTCTGCGCAGCACGCCCAGCTTCACTGCCGACTTGATCACGTGCTTCACCAGCTTCTCTGCTTCACGCTTCTCAAGACGTTCACGTAGTACCGTCAGAAACTGAAATTGAATACAATAAAATAAAAACCTAAATGCTTAACACGTTGAACGCCATGGGGGACATGTGGACCACTCTGGCGGCGGGTTAACCCTCAACAGTAATCTGTCGGCAGTCAATGACTTAATAATAAATTAAAAGTACTTTAAATTCATCTATACTGACTGAGGTACCCGCTTGGGCTCGAAACTAGACAGATAATCTCGTAATTTTAGGAAAATACTATTAATATTATAAAGCCGTAGAGTTTGCTTGTTTGTTTGAACGCGCTAATCTCAGGAACTACTGGTTCGGATTGAACAATTCTTTTTGTGTTTGTTAGTCCATTTATCGAGGAAGGCTGCATGTTATTACATAATCTAAAATCTGTGTATTAAGCTTTTCAATCTTTGTATAACATACGAAGCTAGATTCATCATAATACCTGATCCAGCAGTTTGGCGGCATGCTCATCAAGCACAAGTGCGCGTGCGCTGGCAGCGCCGCCTACACGAGACAGAAACTTCTTCTGCGCGCGCAGCGAGATGTCGCGAGCGCACCAGGCGCCGCCTTCCATTGCTGTAGACAAGGAAAGAAGATACTTAAGTTAAACATTATTACAAATTACAAAGCTTCGTCTCTCTACAGAGTCCAAAATTGATCTCACACTAATTGTTACCACCTTCATATATATCAATTTATATGTATAAATGGTACCTAAAGCAATAAGGATATTGAATTAGATATTAGGTACAATCAGGGTCACGATGTTAAACCAATACCTAGGTGGTATAAATTGTAAAATTATTATTGAAAATAAAAACAAATAGAGTGCCCGTTTCAACACGTCTGAATAAACCCCATGTACTATATCAATTTGGATAAAGAACGTAATTTGGTTGGACCTGTGGGTTGGACTGTGTGCCATATAAGTTTTTTAAAAGCTTACGCGAAGTTTGTAAAAAACGCAAAATGTATATTAAAGAATATTCTTCATCTTTCATTCTGATCCTCTCGTGTAAGTGAATGCCATAAACTTTACGGTCTTCTTTGTCCACTCTTTCCTTTTCAACAATTCAAAAAAAGGAGATTTCAGTATGCTTCATATCTACCTTTTTTAAAAAGGGAAACATACCTAACATGTTCGTATACGTAACCTAAATACACATACAAAAGAATAGCCTAAAGAGAAAATGCGAAATCAATTTCCAAGATGGCGTAAAATGTAAACGATTTGCAGATAAGCCATACCGCGCCATTACTAGAGCATTCGAACATTCCGTGCTCATAAGAATAAACTTTTTTGCAATTTCACTGTTCAATGGTTCGCTTATATACATAATTAAATCGGGACCGAAATCTGAACTAATAAATTGTGAGCATTCCTTGATCAGAATATCGATAATGTAATCGGAAATGACGGCGTAAATAACCTTAATTAGATTCATTAATTAATGATTTATCAAAAGATAATGTGAATAATTTTCGCTGGAAATAATATATGTAATTGTGGAACGCAGCAGTATAATTATGGAGGTATATGTATCATCTAACATGTTTACAATGGCATATACGTAACTAATCACCAGATATAATAAAATATAACAGGCAAACATAGAACATTATATTCCGTACTTACGTATGTAAACATCTATTTAAGGAAAATGACTTCAGGTTTTTTTAACCCAAACACCAATATAGAGTCAAAATCAAAATTATTTATTTCAATAATACCCTTAGGTACAGGAACTTTTGAACGTCAAAGAAAGCTTAAAGATAAAAAGTATTAGTCTGTCGGTCAGTCCTCTTAGTGAAGCTATTTGGCTCGTTCCAAATTGTAGATTCCAATGGAGAAGAACGACTAAGAAACTCATGGTTGGTCACGACATATTCGATGCGACACTCGGCGGCATTAGGTAAGGGTCACAGTTTTAACCTAACCTAAATTATCCAAGTAGGGGTACCCTAAACGTATTTTTGACACAAAGACTTAAGCTTTAATTACTCTGCTAAGAAATGGTCATCATTTACTACTTTTGGTGTTCGAACACAAACCAAAGTGCAAGAATAATGGGTATCTGTGATGGTCATTATATTAAACCCTGTTTACAATTGGCTAGAGGAATCTATTTCAATTCTGTGCAATGAACAATAACAATTTCAATTGGATCTCTGGTAACTGGGGCATTGCATTGTGGGCTGTTAGATTTCATTGCATCTGTTTATCTAGATTCAAACACATTGGTATTCGTACATATCTGATGAATATTATGTGTAATATTCTCTGCAATTTAATAGAAACTTTAGGTTGAAACACGAGCGTGGTCTATTGCAGATCAAGCTCAAGTCATACAGTATTTTTTTATTTATTTACCAGGAACACTTTACTATGTGCTCGATACTATTCATGTATCGTACATTAAATTAAATTCAAAATTGAACATGTAATGCTAATAATAATCGAGAAATAAAAGGCCCCACAAAAACAAAAGAAAAAGCGTTATAAGAACATACCTATTTAGAAGAGGTAGAATTGCAATATGAATAGAATACATGTCTTGATAAAAATAAATATTAAAATGCAAAAATTGTATGCTGTAAAAACTGTTCGTAGCAAACTACTGAGAGGCTTAAAAAATTTTGCTAATTTGGTTACAATAAAAGTACCTATTCATAAGGACTATATAAGTTATTAAATAATCAAAAGCGAATAGAATTCCTAACTTATTATAAACTTATTATAATAAGTACTCCTAAATCAACTTCCACAATGGTAGCCCGTCTCAAACTAGACCAATCAAAACAGGAGATAATACCTACGATGCAGTTCAGTTGCACTTTTCATTCTCATTAGTCAATGAGGCAAAAATTCAGACGAGGAACAATTCGGAAGAGGTCAGGTGATAACTGTACTCAGGTAGCTATTTACTATCTACGAGTATACATGAAAACATTATCCCTTTGTCGTCGGTTTCCATGGCAACCGACGTTGTTATCAGACGGAACGGTGCAGACAAATCGTCGTCGGATATTGCCCGACCCCTCCACTGTCCGTGACGTCAGCAGTCAAGCATACAGGTGTGATTTAACAACAGTATGTTGATCTTGAACAGATTTTGTTTGGTTTCGATGTTGGTTAAAATTGAGATGTTTCCTACTGAACGATTGTCACCGTATTTTCGTTTTTTATTTGAAATTCGCATTTGGGAAAGGCAAAGCCAAAGTGTCGTGGTGGCCCCGAGGTTAAGCGCCCGCTACTCATACACGCATGAGGGCGTGGGTTCGAAACCGAGCAAGTACCAATGTGACTTTTTTCTAGTTACATGTACTTTCTATGATTATTTAGACACCACTAACATGCGGTGAAGGTAAACATCGTGAGGAAACCTGGAGTTAAAATTTCTAATTATAAGTTTGAAATCGCCAACCCGCATTGAGCAAGCGTGGTGATTAATGCTCAAACCTTGTGAGAAGAGGCCTTTGCTCAGCAGTTGGCACTTATAGGCTAATGATGATGAAAGCCTAAGTCAAAAGGATTTATTCTAACTAACTAAACCTTATATAGAGATGCTTTTGAAACGTCAAAATAGAATAATAATTTGTCAGTCTATTCGTCAGTGAAGCTAGGTGCTGGTAAAAAGTGTAGATGAAGAAGAATGAAAAACTCCATCAACCGCATCATATTTAAAGGATACATATTAAACAATATCTCCAATTACTATACACAATTTAATACACATACATAATGTAAGAATAATCCAGAGTAAAAATGGTTAAAACAACAAGCCATGGGATTAATTTCTCATCATAAAATTTTCTCTCGAGCCTGACCTGACCTCTATATAACTGTTATAACAAACAATTAATTATTGTAACTGGAAATTCTACACCTAATATGTTGTTTATGGTCTGTCCTTTACAATTAAAACAATTGCATGTCATTAGCACCTAAGAACCCGTTGACATTGCAGCTGCAAACCTCCTAGCTGTCCATTCTCACAAGAATTGTTAATATTCGTCTTTATTTCGTGAGTATTAAGGCTGATTTCTGCAGCACTAGTACTAAATTGTATTGAACTTTAAGTGACATTTATGTGATGGTGGAAAATTATATGATGGACAAGGAACTAATGATAAATGTTCTGTAACCTAGGTATCGTAGATATGTTCGTTGTTTTAAACTTAAGTTGAAAGTTATGAAAGGTGAAAGAACCGGCAGGGTATAATATAAACCACGAATGGTTTTCTATTTTCAGTACCTTTCGGCAAACGAGCATACGGATTACCTGATGGTAAGCAATCAGCGCGGCCCATGGACACTCGCAACGGAGGAGTTACGAGTGTGTTGCCGACCTTTTAGGGATTAGGGATTTGGAAATTTAGGGATTGAGGAGGGATTGGGGGAGGGGAAGGATTAAGCCTCCGGTTATCTCACTCACACGGCAAAACACAACGCAGTGGTTATTTCACGCCGGCTTTCTGTGAGGCCGTGGTATCACTCCGGTCGAGCCGACCCATTCGTGCCGAAGCATGGCTCTCCCACACTTAAAATATTATATTTTATTTTTGAAAAGGTAATTATACTTTTATTCTTCGAAGGAAAAGGGACTGCTTTATTGAAAATAACGGCTTACGTGAATCAACTGAGAAAAGCTCTACTAGATTCAAGACTTATCGGAACTTATTCATGAGCAGCGTGCGCGTTGCGGCGACGTACAAAACTAGTACTTATATCTAATATTGTAGGTAAAGATAGCTAAGCCATCGCTGGTTTAGGGTAGTGTTTTGTTGAAGAGTCTTTAAAACCACGTGAGAATATACATTTCCAAGCAAAAACAAAGGCGAAATGTATCAAACACTGACATGTGTTCAGTGACGGAGGATATGTCTACGAAAACATGGTGGAAACAATAGGTGAGAATCTGATCCAAGTTAACAGGAAGATTATAAATTCTTGACATGCTTACAAAACAATTACTACTTATGTAAACATAACTTTATCTATAATCGAAACATTTAAATTAAAAGAGGTCGTGTAAGTAAAAGTAAAAGAGGTCGGTCGTGGATTATTGATTAGTTTGTATTTACATTCGGAAGTCAATAGATGGCGCTCAAATTAAGTTTGTCCAAGTTTAGGCAGGATAAACTATACCGATGTTTTTGAATCTTTCACAAGTGCTACGACCATTTTCGACATGGAAACAACGATTTGAAATGTTGCCAAAACCGATATGATATTTCGTAAATGGCTACACTGGCTCCCTTGGCCTGTATGCCAGCTGAATGGCCAAACAGATGTTGAATCGGATTCGGTAGCGCTCTTTGTAATTTGGATCAATTTCAGACTCGTTTGAAGTCCACCTCTTTGATTAATGGTGGTAAATTACTATTATCAATGTGTTCAACTTAATTCAGTTGCTATTTTTAAAAAAACTTTGGGTAAAGTTTACAAATGAGTTTAAAACATGTCCAACAACATAATTTTTGTGTTTGATTACACGAATAAAACAAATTTTGCATATTATATTATTAAAGTTAACAAAATAACCGCATTAGTTCCGTTAGAAGCATCCCTTTTG